TTAGGTTATATTCCTTAATTACAGCCACATTAGCTCCACAAATAAGACACACGGGTTTATGTCAGTAAACATATACTCAGCCTCCCACCGGTTTTGAAAGGCTCTGTTTTCAGAATAAACTTTTCTCTTGGCCATTGTTAGGGGCTAGCTTTGATTTAAAATTAGGGCTGTATACATCAACAGACGCTTGATTGATCTTACGTAATTGACGCGGGAATGATCGCAGGTAGCCTGTTGTTCGGTAAGGCAGCTGTTGAGCTGCATTATGGGATTTGTAGTTTGTGTGTTATCGGCGCTTCATATCGCCGGGCTATTAAAAAAAGATATATAAAATGATCTCGCGGGCCGGATGTAATTGTACGCCGGGCCGGATGTGGCCCACGGGACTTGAGTTTGACACATGTGCCTTAGAGGGAAGGGAAGCTGTTCTGGCAGCAGGTGGTGCTGCACACCATACTAGACACTTTGTTGGTTTTTCCTTTCTTTTGTCACCTGCCTGTATATTCAGAAACATCTAATTAAAGATGCAGAGTTGTGCCAGAATAAACTATATGACTTATGGTTACTTTAATGACAAAATATGATGCAAGTGCTGTATGTCTCACAGTAGAATACTATTGATATTTGTGTTTAATAGTTTTCTTTTAAAATGATTTGTTTAGTACCATAAAATAACTAATGTAACCAATCAAAGCACGTCAAAGACAGATAGAAACTGTTTACTTACCTGGAGGCGTGAACAGGACTCCATGAATATTTCCCTCTCTGACTGGGTGTCGACTGACGCCCTCTCCTATCAGAAGCCTCTCATTGGTCGCCTCTGCCAGCACCCTCCCCTCCTCCTCATGTACAGAGAACCTCACAACATGGGGGTTTAGTGAATTGTTTTTTTGAAACCTTTTGTGCAAGATGTCTGGCCTCATCGACCACAGCAGCCCCATGGGTTCAACCCCGACGTAGCTCCCGCTGAGTGAGGGGTCTCTGTCCAAGTCGATCTCCCCTCTCCCATCAGCCCTGTAGGTGGCCGAGGAGCTGAACACCACTCCTCGCTCGTCAGCAGATCTGGCTCTCATAGTGACCACCTGCCTCGACCTCAGCCCGGACACCTTCAGCTGAACAGGCTCATCAAACAAGCATCTGGCGCTTGGCAGCAGCCTCAGTATGATTTGGGAGGACATCTCTTTACAAACTAAAAGTCCTCTCTTCACAAATTCAGACTCTGTCCTGTGTCTGTAACAAAGTAAACAGGACAGTCATTTTTTCTGCACAATGTGACAAAGCTAGAGCGGGGATCATTCTAAAATTTTCGATACTGGTACCTTGACTTTGATACAGGCTCCTAAACAATACTTGTTTCAATACTAATTTTATAAAATCAATTTAACAAAAACATATACATACATTGCACATTTTGGTACAGATCATCAGTTTTATTTTTCAATTCATTGGCATTTTTGTGCAACTGAAGCAGTTTGATAACATAAAAAGTAAACCTATTTACCACAACCTTAAGTTCTTTTAATATTAACATCAGTAAAAATGTAGAAAAGACATGTCTGAAGTTTGACCAACTGATCTGATTCATATAACTGAGTATGGTCTACATAGCAATGGAAATTTATTCTGTTTTCTGATAAAATAGCCAAAGGGGAGCGTGTATAAAGTGAAGAGAATTGGACCTAACACAAAACCCTGTGGAACACCGTGAATAACTTTAGTCTGTGTGGAAGATTCATCATTAACATGAACTGGAATCTCTCTGATAAATAAGATCTGAACCAACTTCGTGTGGATCCTTTAATCCCAATAACATGTTGTAGTTTCTGTAACAAGATATTGTGATTAACAGGGGTGTGACGAGATCTCGTGCCATCAGACCTCAGACATCAGTACATAAAAGAATAGTAGCAGGATCAGGGGAAAAACTGTCAGTGTCCGGACTGAGTCCAGTGGTCATGAAGTACCTAGAGACCTTAACACCAAATCCCATTCAAAATTTGGGCAATTTAAAATTACGCTCTATTTCATATAGGCGTAGCCCTCTAAGAGCTGTCGCGATTGGGTTTATCCCTCGCACATGAGCAGTCCTGAAGAGCTTCTTTTGCACCCTGTGACCTGCGCTGGGCTGTCCTTAGTTAGGTCCACAGCAGCAGTATAACTGCCAGTGTGACCTAAGCTCGCCTCCCTATTTTTCTTCAATAGTTCGAAAGAGCATTCTCATAAGAGTCCAACTATGGCTAAAGAGCAACTCTCCTCCTCCAGTGGAACTTAGTGCCGCCCTGCTGTCACCGTATGCCCCGGCTGCGACACGGGCTTCATCCTGCCCAGTGACCCGCACCCCCGCTGCGAAGCCTGTCTCGGCGTCAGCCCTGTGAGGGCATGT